GGGGATTTTTAACAGCCCATGGAAAAACTGCAGCACAGACATTTGCATGATTCTCTCCAGCCTTTGGGGGCTGGGGGCGCTTTGTACTGTAATTACCCAGGAAGTGGATGATCAACAGGGAACCTACAACCCCAAACGAGACCACTGGTTGAGGTTGAGGTTGGGTCTCAGGAGGGGCTGTGGGGTTGTTTCAGGCTTCAGGGCTGGGGATTTGGAGGTCATGTTGGGTGTTCAGGGGTCTGCTTGCGCCTGGAGCCCCTGCTTGAAGGCTCCTCGCAGACAGGTTTACGGCATGCTGCACGCAAGGACGTTTTCGTGCCCTAACCCCAAACCGTACAGTACCCCTTGGCAGTTCTCTCCACGTTGTATGGCGTAAGCATTTACGCCCATAGCTACATGTACCTATAACGCATGACCCATGAAGCTAAGCAGGAGAAGGCGACGGCAACCATAACCGACCTGAAGGAGGCAATCTACGATTCGGACAGGCTTAGGGCCTCTAGGGTTTGGGGCTTTTAGGGTTCGGAGGTTTTGAACGCTAAGCTTGAACGCTAAGCTGTATAAACCTCGACCTTATAAAACTACAAGCCTGGATTGTCTATCATCCTGAAATTGTTGCCCTGCCGCGTGTCTGGTCTGCGTGGCGGGCGGCAAAATAAACATATTGTCTCCAAGTGAAAGCGGGGCCCATCGAGTTCATCGACGGCGAGAGGGTTTAGGGTGCCTCCGCAAAGCACTTCTGGCCCATGTCGAGTAAACGTTGTTTCAGCATACCTTCGATGCCTTCGATTCTGTTCTCGAACGTAGCCTCCAAAAGTCCTCCTCCCTGTTTTTGTTTGAAAGATCTTCCGAGCATCCTTGACGTGGCCCAGCAGATCCTGCACAAATCCTCGAGAAATCCTTGATGAGTCCTAGGGTTGGGCTTCCGGAAGATTGCAGGGTCCAGCGAAAAGATCCGAAACCGACAAAAAGCAACCCTGAGGAAATCCTTCCCAGATTCGATCTCTATGAGAACCTTTGAAAATTCTTGAGAAATCCTCGGAAGCTCTTCGAAAGTTCCAAAAGTTCCGAAGATTCCAGAGGCTCCGTCTGCCGAGCTAGGAGCGAAAAGGAGGCTCACCCCTTCCACGAAGACTGGGCCGGCCTATGGGTCGTTCTCTACATTAGGGTGCCTGTTAAGGCAGCCTATACACGGTACCCTTATTATACGGACCCCCCCAAAAGGGACTGCAATAACTACCCCTATGTTTAGGCGGAGAGATGCCCCCCCCCCCCCCCCCCCCCCTCCCTTCTCCCCACTATCCCACACACCCAACGCCCCAAACCCAAACCCTCGACCCTATAAACCCTAAACCCCCTAACAAACATGTTGCTCCGAAATGACGGCGACAGAAAGAACAACTTGAGGCCACGGAGGAGAAACTGTCGCCAGCCCTGGTCGCTTGGCGTTCGAGGGCATGTGCGGGGCTTCCAGGATCTAAGTTTAGGACAACCGGGTAGGTTTTAGGGTTTATAGGGTTTAGGACACGCACACCCAAGCCTGGATGCAAAAAAGCCTTTAGGGTCCTGCGTTGTATTCGTTTTGTTTTTTTTTTTTTTTTTTGGGGGGGGGGGGGGGGGAAGGGGTTGGGGGGGGGTTGATGATGATTTGTGCAAAAGGCTGAGTAGGAAGCTCCGGTGGCGCTGATTGTGTTTCTGATTGCTAAATCGACAAAACGGCGTCGGATCTTTACCCGGAAAGGCCCTAACCACCTAGCTTCGGGGTTTTAGTCGCAACCTCGCCCCCAAGCTCGATGAGTGCCCCCAGCAACGTTTTTTTTTTTGTGTTGGGTCATCACTTTTCACCTTGGGCTGTCCAGCAGCCAGGAGTGCCTAGAAGGGTAGCTTTGTGTTGGAAATCTCCTAGGCCGCAAGTCCGGGGGCCTTGTCCAAGATGGCATTGGCCTGACACAGCTCAGCAACTGACACGAGAGCAGAATCTCTCTCTCTCTCTCCCTCTCTCCCTCTCTCTCTCTCTTTTTCACATATCTCGTAGCGAGAAGACATGAAGAGACGGCTCCTGGAAACCACATCGAATTTCCCACCGATGACGCTGGACCTGAAACGCAAGAGCACAAAGAACTTAAGCTCAAAGAGGTGGGCCTCAGGTTTTGGTTGAAGTCCTTGCGCAGACGACTCTGGAGACTCGCAAAGCTCGTCGAGGGGAGAAAACTCGCAGCCGCCCCCGACTACAGTGAAGGCCAGAGCCGGACGGTCCGAGACACACTAAAGGCGACGGCGAAGAGAAGGGCGTGGCACGCTAAAGCCATGTTTCTTCCTTTTCACCTCTGGTGCTGCGATCACCTGTGTTTTTTCAGCACCGAGTTTGCAAGAGCCCTCGTGTTTCGCTCAACGGTGTTTCAACGCGTGCAAAACAGTCACACGCACTTGACAATCCTCAAAATCCCACAAGGCCCGCACAAACCCGATGCCCAGGCAAAGTTGAAGGAGAACCTGGATGCTGCGAGATCCACGGGTAGCAGCTTCACCTCGGACTTCGATACGACCTTCAAAGGTTTCGTCGACAGCTTCGTGCAGGTGCGGGGCAGCTCAGGGCTTGTTCGGTGTAGGCCGAAAAGTGGCGAGAGTCCTCAGGCATCCCGCCATTGCCCCCTAAGCTAAAAGTTTCGAGAGGGGGAGTTAAGTGCTGAGATAGGCTAGCATAAGCCAGTTATTGTACAGATAACGATTAGACTTGAAATCAATAGTTTGCAGTAATTAAACGCAGTATTCTGTATGTCGGCCTTCTATCGAAATGATTATTTTGATCACGTGTCAATCTAATGTCACAAAGCGGCCGCATCACGGATTTGCAAGTGCCCTCGATGCAGCAAAGAATTGGCCAATGCCTTGGAAACAAAATGCATGTTCAACGAATTGATTAGCTGTAGTCCCTACCTTAATCGGGCCAGTGTTTTGGTGCAGGCTGTTTTTTGTGCAGGCTGTGACGAGCAAGCTCCCAGAAGACAAGAAGGAGCCGACAGGGTTTTAGGTGTTTGTCATTTTTGGTCATTGGCGGGTCAAGAAAGATTTAAAAGGGAGCGCTTGATGATGTCAGAATCCCTCCTGACATGTCGTGGCATGGCCAGAGATTCAGGCTTCCCTGGGCTTCGAAAAAGTTTTGCCTGCCTAAAATCTAAGTCCTCCAGGGGCCAAGGCTCTATACCCCTTGGGATGTCACCCCTTAGACGAACAGTCCTTCATCGGGATTATGGTACCCCCGAATATATGGACTGTTAGTATAAGGGGGAACATCCCAATCTACACCCCTACAGCTCTGAACCCCGGCAACGGCGCCAGAGTTGGGCAGGAGTCGCTGGGCGCCAACATCGCCAACGTTGGGGAGACCTTGACGACCAAGGTGGGAGTCAGTGAAGGATCTCGATTCAGCAATTTCAAGTTTAGGGTGGGACGTGTAGATCTCGGGTTTAAGATTACGGCTCGTAGGAGTGGCACGAAGGGCTTTGGCCTAAGCACGGGGCTTGCGGATCAGCGTTATGGGGGATTTCTGTGTCTACTGCGGCTTAGGGTATCGGGTTTGGAGCTGGCTCCCCGAATGCTTGCCCAACTCTCCAGCTCGCCCCCCTCCCCCTTCTTCGCCTTGGTCATGAAGTCTCAGGTGCATGATCTCTGCGAGGATGTGAAGACGCTTCTGGATGCTTGGGTGGCACCCATCAGGTGGTAAGAGTTCGTTTTGTGATTACAATCAAAGTTGACCGTCTACAGGGGGGTTCTTTCACTCAGCTGCTCACACAGTATGATATCCATGAATCGCCACCAGCCGCATCCCTGAACCCTGGAACCCGAACCCTATTCCCTTTACACCCAAACTCCGAACACTTAAGAGGAGATGCCCCCCCAACCGAGGACGGCGTGGGCACTGGCGTCGAGGCAAGTGCCCGCAGCGTCGACCCTAACGCTATGGAGGCCAGGTGCCCAGAATATCCCAGCGTCGGGTGTAGGGATGCTAGATTTTCGGATCTCGGGAATCCACTTTCAGGATTTAGGATCTAGCAATCTACAGGCCGGGTTAAGGGTTTAGGATTTAGGATCAGCTTGAAAAAGGATCTAGGCTGTAAAGTTGAGGGGATTGCTGGCGGGTTCGTTCGTGGATAGTTATAGGTATAGGATGGTGTAGAAGCCAGGAAAACAAGTTTGAAACCAGTCATGACGGCAGTTGCTCTTCTTCTAACCCCAGCAATAATTCCAAGTACCCAGGGAACCTCCGAGGTTTGGGGTTTCGAGATTCATTGCTTGGGCAGAGAGGCTAAGTTGAAAGGGTGCGGGGTTGAGGATTTCAGGCCTTGCATGTTGGAGTGACCCAGGTTTTACGCAGGCTCCTGACACGATGAGGACGTAGGGTGTGGTCCCATTCTTTGGATTCAGGCATAGGTTGCTAGGAGGAAGAAGGAACACGACCTTCTTTCTCTTAGGCGAACAGTAACCATTTTGGCAGGCCTCGCCGGGCTTCTTCGGTTCCATTCTCAACTTCTTCAAGCACCTCTTTCGCTGAGGACGTCGCCCCCCCGTAGAAGTTTTGGTCCCTGGTGTTCGAGCGGCCGAGCATGATGTCTGCAGCACGTCTGCAGGGTTAGGATTCAGAATTCAGAAAGCGATGAGCTCCCAGGCATACTGTGTGAGTACCCACTAGCCGAGACCGCCGCTTCGCGCCTCACGCGGACGACACTTAGCCAGAAGTCTGGGCAAAGCCTTCCGACTCAATCTGCGCCTTTTAATCTGATCGCCCTCACCCCCCTCATAAAGCGGAGGGAAGTAGACGGGTGCCTCACACCGAGAATCCCGTCGCTCGAGGGTAGGTAGGCCCGCGAACGCGACTGCACTACCATGCTTTACGACACAAAGAGACGAGACGGGTGCTGGAGGAGATGTGCAGTAAGCCATGGGGAGGCCTAAACCCCCCCTGAACCGTAAACCCCTAAGAGATCCAGCTTCTTGATGAGGTGCTACATGCGCTCTGAGCTTTTCCTGCACGGCGGCAAGGGCACAGGCTCCGCCAGTACAACTTGCCAATGCTGCGTCTGGTTCCGAGAGAATCTAGGATTCTTTTAAGGAGGCTACATCGGGTACGCAGTTCCTTTTCCTGTATGAGGGAATGGTTTCCTAATGTTGAAGTCACTCAGCATTCCCTCAAATACTTCCCCCAGCGCTGGTCTCCACCAATCTCCCATACTCCACTCCAAAAACCCCCCAGCAAAACATCAGTAGGTTCCCTACTATATAAACCCCCGCCCCCCCTTATGCTTTAGGGGATGTCTGGGGGCCAGGCCAGCGAGAGGCAGCACAGCGGTGGCTGAGCGCAGGGACTCAGAGCTGCTCCTGCGTTTTTTGGGTGTTTTCTCCTGGGATTCAGGTGCTTGGGGGCTTAGGCTCGGGGCTTCGGGTTATTCAGGGTCGTGCGGACCCCTGTCTCGATGCGCTGCTGGAGGGCCTACTTAAAGCCCCTCAAGCCCCTCACGCCCCTTAACCACAGTAAGTTGCCAGCTGTAAGACCTGGGCTTGCGCGCGCCTCGAGGTCCGGAGTTTGCAGGCAGCCTTCGCTCACAACTCTTGGCGTGCCACTCGGTTGGGGGCGCTTCAGGGTTCTTGCGCCCCCCCCCCCCCCCTTAATTAGGGTTTATAGGGTTTAGGGTTGAGGCAAAAAGGGTTTTGGGTCTCAACCCATGCTCTTCCCACCCGGGGCTTGTGGGTGAAAGCTGGGATGCCGCCTCCGGATCGGACCCCAAAATCTTTTCTTGTGCATTGTCCCCCGATGCTGAGCCTTGTAGCATCCTCCGAAAATCGGGTCAGCCTTGCAGATCCCCAGCCAGTCGCCACCCTCCCGGGTTAAGTTCGGTTGGTTTGGGGTGTCAAGGGTTGTAGGTCACACTCTTGAAAGTTGCAGGTAACAAAAGAAAAAGCCCTGAAGTAGCGCGACATGCCCCTCGGTTCGTGGACGAAAACCCGCAGGGTTTTTGCTCTCGAGCCCAGCACCCGCACCCTGACAAGACCAGCCATGAGCTCGGCACAGGCTCGAGAGAAGTGGGACTTTACGAGAATAAGGGGGGCCCCAGATAAAGACCCCCCAAATATAGACCCCCAAACAGTAGGATTCCCCGTATAATAAGGACCTCCCCCCATAAGGTACACTAATTCTTGCACCCCCAAGTGGTTGCTTGAGTGTTAAGAACTGGGCAGGCGCTTAGTATTTTGTGTTCTTTACCTTTTGGCTTTGAAAGGATCATACTCAGGAATATTTTTCAGAGGGTTTAAGCCTACTCGTTTCACTTGGTAGGTCAGGGGTGCCCTTTTGCTCTTTTGGGTTCTAGGTTCCCTTATACAAGTACCCCACCCTTAAACGCGCACCCCTGTCATTCTTAGTATTGTTAGATATGGTTACCGGGCTGCCAAGATTCCCTCGAAGCTACCCCAGCGTATTCCCAGCCTAGTCAGCTCTCGGAGTCACAAGGCATCCGCAGTGAATCAAAGTCCAGGGAGTCAGGTCAGCTGAAGGTCCTAAGTGCGTGTGGAGACAGGGAGCAGCAAGCGAGCCAGCAGACCCCTGAGCCCTAGAAGCCGTGAACCCTCTACACGGCTCGCACACTGCTACCAGATCATGCAGGCGAAGCCCCCAGGCTTCTGAAAGACTCTTTGGCTCCGTTCCACTGCGAAGTCTCTTTCATGGCCTCATGCTGCCTCGGCCGTAATCAGCCCTTAACCCGAAACCCTGCAGCAGGTGTCCAAGAAGAGGAAGTTCGTGGCCGATGGCGTTTTCAATGCAGAGCTCAACGAGTTCCTGGCGCGCACTCTAGGTGACTTGGACAGCTGCAAACCTCTGCTTGAGGGCACATGGGTGGTTATAACTGCGGGATACTACGGGTTTTAGAAGGAAGGAGAGACTTACAAGGATCCCCCTTATTTGGCGGGGAGGGTAGCTGCAACTCTGCGGAACTCGGCTTTGTTCACCCGTTCCCGCCCCATCGCACCGAGGTGTTTGGAGCGGGTTCATGATGCCAACTAGACTCCCTTGCTCTTCTGTACTAGTACTTTCAAGATACAAGGCCCAAGGGAGTACCGACATAGTCTGAACGATGGTTCTGCGGGGAGTGTACCAAAGTCTTGCAAGTAGACGCCAGGGCCGCCAGGGCATCTTGCCCGGACTTTTGGGCTTCATGGCTTCTTGCTGCCCCGAAAAGGGCCCAACAAACGCCCGGGGAGTCCCACATCCTGGTGGTTGTTTGGGAGCTTGGTCCAGGGGTTATGGCAGAACTAGGCTGTACCTGTGCCCCTAACAAAAGTATCAGCAGCCATAGCCATGGTCATTGTCATCGTCAAGTCCGCTCTCAGACTTATCGTTGTAGCGCGCGGTATCGTTGCGGCTTATACTGAGAGCCACAGCATGAGCATCATGGTCTAAGAAACCGGTTGGCGGGGCTTCAACTTGGCTCAAGGGCAAACACGATAGCCCTCTGACAGCACGCGTGCCAGCCACCCTAAGGGGAGGATGGCTATGCCGGAGTGGAGGCCTTCAGAGTGTAAGGTTCCGGGTTCTTGCGTTGATTGTTTGCTGGGGACCTTGGGATGTCGGATCCGGGGCATGTTGGGGTGATTCTTGGTTTAGAGTTTGGGGTAGACCCGGTTGGACTTTTTGCCGCGGGGTGTCCTAGACATAACAAGTATATGCCAGAACAGAGAGGCGCCGGAAAGGGACCGCCACCCGGACCAACCGACCCACGTGTGCTCGTAGTTGGTGAATGGTGCCTCTTCATCACATTTCCTGGCTGACCTTGGCAGCCTTGCTGCCAGGAATGCTTTAGGAGCTCAGCTGGAGCTTTGGGCGATGCCTTGGATTCTTGAATTTTGTTCAGGACTTCAGGCCTTGCGGGCCTTGTTTGGGACCCAGAACCCTAAACCTATGAGCCAAGCTCCGTGAGCCCTTACTATTGCCGGTTCTAGGGGCCTCAAGAAGTACCGAGGTGATCCCTGTATCCCTATGTCGCTATCGCAAAAGCTACCCCAAATACCCGTGCGGATCAAGCAAGCCTCTGTGTTGCACCTTGCTTCTGGCGAAGCTCCCATCCCTGACCCCGCAGGTTCGTGTCACGCCCATCCGCACCGAGATCATTATCCGCGCAACGAGGAGATGGCAGGGTGTCTGGAAGGGGCTGCTTTAGATTCGGGTCCCTTTAAACAGACCTTGTATCACAGGATTTCTTATTTTGCCTGGTGCTGCGGAAGTTGCCGGAGAGGACCGAGCCAGCATTTGGTTTTCTTCTTTGAGATATCAAGAGGTTCAACATTTTAGGCTGGTTTTTGTTCTCTCTCTCTCTCTCTCTCTCTCTCTCTCTCTCTAGTTTATCAACTCTCCCTCCCTCTCCATCCCTCTTACAGTTCTTCGTTTCTTGTTTTGCTCGGTCTGTCGCTCTCCCATTGCCAAACGCACTCTTGAAACCCTCCCCTACATCCTAAACCCCCTAAACCCTAAACATCCCTAAGCCCTAAACCCTATACATCCTAAACCCTCAACTCTGGCATGAGCCCGAACCCCCCCGCATTGTGTGCGGAGGACCCGTGAGGTGCTCGGGGAGAAAGGCAGCCCTAGCCCTTGGGATGTTTTGTGCTTACCCTTGTTGGGGTTGAGAGGAGCATATGTAGGAATAATATTTCAGAGAGTTTACAGGGCCATGTTCCTGGTGGCAAAGAAACTGTTGCCAGCTGGAGTCTAGAGGGTCGGGGGGGCCCCAAGATCCTCTGGGGCCCTGAGATTGCGCCTTATCGGGTCACGCTGGGCAGGCCGCCGCATCCGCGAGCTCACCGCCCTGGCCTCTCGGATCCGCATCCAGATCTTTGAGCAGAATCGAAACATATAAAAACATCACAACACCATAGTAGAACAGTGTAAATCTGGGTCTTTTTACATGTTGGGTCTGGGGGGTTCAGGGTAGAGGTCCGGACGTAAACTGGGTGCAGGGCTAAAGCCGGCTATACGCTTTAGTCTTCCGTCTCCTGCAGCCTATAGCGCCCTGCCGTAAGCCCGGAACCGTAAAGGCCAAGGCGCTAAAGGTGATGAAGCGTGAAGTTTGATTTGTCGGTGGTGTAACACGAAATTCGATCTGTAGCAATGGAGATGTGCAGGTAGATGTGAAAGGTGTATAGCGTGAATGTGCATTTGGGGAGTTGTGGCAGCTGATGCCTGTGTATGGTGAGATTGGCTGTGGCAGGATTCGAGGAGAGCGGTGTATGGCCTAGGCTTTGGCTTCTACTTTCCTGGCTTTCCTCTGAAGAGCAAACCCGGTCACCCATCATCCCGCAAAGTAGGCTGAATACGTTCGTTTCCTCTCTGGTAAGCTTCAAGCTTTACTGTGCGATGCTTTAGGGTTTAAGGTTCAAGGAGTCCAGATGCAAAAAAGGGTTTAGGGGGAGCGAACAAAAGACCCTGAACTTCTGAACCCTAAATCCGAATCCTGAACTCTGGGCGTTTGCCAGGTTCAGAAGCGGTTCGGGTTCCCCGAGAACAGCGTGGAGCTTTTTGCGGAGCGTGTTGAGACGCTTGGCGCAGGGTTTCCAGCACCAAGCAAGGTCCCATGAACCCTAGTATAACCCTCCTAAGTTATGGGGCCCTTTTGCCCACAGTCTAGCAAAAAACCCTCCAAATAGTTTTCTGTGGTCCCACGCTGCACGTCGGGTACCCTGCTTGCCGCAGTCTCTTCTGTCAGGAACCGCGCCAGCTGCGCCATGGCGCAGTGCGAGTCCCTGCGCCCCGCGGCTGCGATACGGGCTGCCTGCAGTGGTCGCCATCCGGAAGTTCGGCTCCAACACCCACAAGCCCCGAAAACATCCCAAGTCCAAGCCCATGAAAGCTCCTCAAAAATGGAGACCTCGAGCATTTAATGAACAGCCTTCATCAGGCCCATCGGGTCGGGTTTTCTTCTCAGGCATGCGAAGCCGCATTCTGTTTTGCGGAAAAGGCCCTCTATGGAACTCGCAAGGACCCCAGGAGCGGTAGAAGGCACCTTCGTTCCTTCGTTCCCTGAGTGTACAAGTATCTTTCGTGGCCCCCTGAACCCCAAACCCATCTGCTTGGTGGCAAAGAAAAACGCCTAAACCGCCTCAGCCCTCATACGAAACTCTGACAAAGGGGTGTTTTATGAGGCTTCAAGCTCATTGGCGGCTTAGCAGTCCGCCGAGCATGCTATGGTGTGCTGAGGCCCGAAAAGCAGGGGATCACCGTGGTTTGAGGGGGCTTACTACTATTTGCTTAAGAACCCCAAAAGAAGAACAAAATGATAATCCCTCTACTACCCCTAATAACGAAGAATGTTTTAGTTTTTCGGGGCTCTAAAGCAATTAGTAGAGCTTAAGATTCCTTAAGATGGCTTATTCGTGGCTTATCATACTACTTTCCTGGGCATCCTGTGTTCGCACGTCAAGGTTGGGACACGTCAACTCACATCGCCATAGTTGGTATCTGACTCTCGCTTTTGCCTTTTTTGAGGGAACTAGCTTGGACATCACGACAGCTTGTGGCCACCTTAGCCATCTTTCGTGAAATGCTGTTCATCCCGGACTTCGGA